GATGTGATGGAAGAAAAAAAAAAGAAAAAAAAAAATTGTAAATAATTTATTTATATTTATTTTTCTATGGTATGTTACTTTGGAGATGAAAATTAACTCTTTTGATTGGAGTTTGACTTCATCTTTTGCTCTATGTATAGCTGCAGATTGATTCAATCCATCTTTTTGTATATAGTTGACTTGTCTGGTTCATGGAAGTTTATTTTATCCATCTTTTGCTCTATGCACAGCTGCAGATTGATTCAGTCGGTTTTAGAAGCATAAGTACATGTTACCTATTTGCTTCATGCTCGAAATTTTTCGAGTCCTTCTTTTGTAAATGTATTCTGTGTTCCGATGCTCGTTTGGAGAAAAATTTAGAGCATAAGAATGTCTCCAACTCGGAGCTACAGATTGTAGTTACGGTAGAATGGAGCAAAATTCACTCAAAACGGTGGAAGTTAGGTACGAAGAGCGTTGTAATCGAACCAAACGAGCCGAGCTTGGGCATTTCGAGCTAAAGTTCATTTACGTTGAACCAAACGAGCCGAGCTTGGGCATTTTGAGCTAGTGTTTCGTTGAACCAAACGAGTCGAGCTTGGTCATTTTGAGCTAGTGTTTGTTTACGTTTGAACATTGTTCGTTTTTGTTTGGTTATATTTTCGACCGAAAAAATCTTGTTTAAATAATTTAGGCCACAAAGTTTTTAAATATGTTTGATGAACTTGAAATTTGTGCGTTCGATCTCGTTCGAAATCGAAAATAAAAAATAAAATAAAAATATTCATACTTCAGATTTTTTATTTAAAATATCATGTAAATGAACAAAAAATTTATAAAATATAAATGTCCGTGAACGAGCAAGCTTGTGTTTGTTCGTTATTAAACAATTATTGAACGAGCTCGTGGTTTGTTTGTATTCGACTTGATTAGAACGAGCTTTTGTTCGTCAACGTTCGATTCGTTAACCGTCCTAGCTACTGCATTGTTCTTGGGCAGCTGTGTAGGCATTTATATTTTAATTAAAAAATCCGGGGAAACGACCAAAAGGAGTTCACAATCATATTCCTAGTGCTAAATAGCTATCAGGATTCTTCACAAACCTCAGTTTCAGAATCCTGTCAACAGAGCCCCAAACTGCATCTTTACCAACCACCTTAACATTCCAATCTCCCAAAAAAAAAAAAAAGCCTAGATGCCTCCATCATTATGAACATTCATATGCACATATATAGGAGAGAACCAACCACCACTAGTTCGGCCAGCGAGTAAACTCATCGTCGTCTTCTTCTATCCCATATAAAAAATTCGAAAATTTCGGTAGTGAAGCAATTCGCGGCAAATGCAGGAGCAAATCCCCCAAAGAGTCCGGTTTCGGCATCGCAGTCCCCAGCTCGACTGGACCTTCGCAAGTCTCTATAGCATCATCGATAAAATCACTCGTGAGGTCTTCGTAAAACATATTATCTTCCGAAATGGGCCCACATGGGACTTCGGATTCGGCGTCCGGGCCATGGAGCAAGCTGCAGAGAGAGTTGACCTTCTTCATGAGCGATTGCTCGTCGAGCCCCGTCGAGCACTGGGTGTCGTTAAGGAGAACTTCGGCAATGTTCTCGAGCATGTCTTGGAATTCCGAGGCCCTGGCGGAGGGCAAGTTTCTGCAAGTAATCTGCTCGGAAATGCGATTCTCGAGGTGGTTCACGAGGTCACTCATCGACATCGAAGGAGGCACGTTTAGTGATTCAAAATTTCTAGTTCGGGTTCCATCGATGGCTTGCGTATCCATCACTAAGTAGTAATATTTAAAAATATAATAATAAATAAATTGTTAAAAGATTATGCATGAAGATAACAATCACAGAAAAATCATATACCTGAGCTAGGCGAAGTAACTTCTTTAAAAACATTTTTTCCCGAAAAATGTTTATCCTCAAATTTTAAGGCAGACAACTGTGCAGCAACTATGGATTCTTCTGAATTTTCTTCGACAGAAGCTTCGGGCTCAAAGTATGGCGAGCCGACATCTAGTTCGGGGAGTTGGCTCAAGATACTTAAACGTGTATCACACTGAATGAGCTTCTCATAGTGCTTGTTCAACACTCCTGGAGGGCATTGCAAAGAGTGTAGCCTGTTCAAATATCATCAAACACCCTTTAGAAAAGAAAAAATCAATTGTAGCACCAAAGTTCCAATATTGTAAATGAAACATGGAAAATTCTTTCACAAGCATCTTTCGTCACAAACCGCATTAAAGCATATTGCTAATGTCTACTAGACACTCGTCTATGCCAAGCTTTACTCTATAAGAGCATTCAAAAAATTTGACAAAAAACTTGTGAAACAGGCATATAATGATTTCCACCAACATTCCATAAGAAACTGATATTCTTGTAGGGTTAAAAAAATATGAACTTCGTGAGAAAAAAACCACAAATAAAATTATAAGAAATATATAACTCCCGCAAGTCTTGATTATTGCCACAAAAAAGGAGAAAAGCAAGGATAACTTAAAAACTTACTTATTTAAGCTAGCCTGTCCAGCAGTAAAATCGGCGGTTGCCTGCCACAGAGTGTGCTTTCTGGGTTGAGGATTGGTCTCCCTGAAAAAGGCAGGTGGCCGAGCTAGCTGGAGCACACAAGATTGAAAAATGGTGTTTGAAAACAATGAAAATTGAAAAGTATACAATTTGCTACTGCTAATTAATAACAGATCGAAAAAAAAAAAAGGAAAAAAAAAGTACCATGATGGTTAAAGTGCCAGGGTCATTATCGGGACAATCAGCTTTCAGGGCCATGATATCAGACCATTGGATCTCTATTTTGCTCTTGAGACCACCTTCAAGAACTTCCCAGACAAGTTTATGCTTAGCAAAATAGCATTTGACCACCAAATCACCCTCGTATCTCGACAGATACTGCCAGAAAATGATTCAACGGATCAGAGTATCTGATTGATTTTTATTAACATGCTTTATGTTCTTACACTCCATTCTCCTAGTTCAATAGGACATATTGGACCAAATGATTTTACTCATTGTGTTTAATTTAGGGACTAGGAAGAGACTCTGAAACAACTGATCTACTCAAGTGCACCATTAACTTCAGATTACTCATTCTGACCAAATTTAACCAAAAACAACCGACAATAAGCTTTCATAGGAGCATGTAAATGGAAGTTCAAAAAAGTACCTCCCAGCTGCCGATTCTCAACAGCAAACCCGGAAAATTTGAAGCTTTCAATTTATCATTAGCACTCGAGACAGATGAAAAGCCCTTCACACCTTTCTTGTTTTCGGTGTCGGTAGTTTCACTAGGAGCCACCGATATACCAACACTACCCCCTTGAGAGAGCCTCCTCTGGATCAAATCCAATAATGATGGACTCTTTCTAAGCCTCAAGCCAAGAGGACTTGGCTCATCGAGTGGATTGTACCGTGCATGATTGCCGGAGCTTAACTGCCGAAAAGTGAAACTTCAAATCATGAGACAATACATAATAACATAGGCTGAGAAAGTTCACATAACATTCGCAATCAATTCTTCGTGAAGCTCCACCGTGACAACTAACTAAAAATGCAATCTTTTTTGTAGTGAAATTATCAGCTATCCCATGAAAGCAGCACATTACACATATACACACACATGTATATGTCACCAAAAGATTCATAATGAAATCCAATTAAAAAAAAAAAAGAAGCTAACTTTACCGATGATAAAAAGATTAAAACCCCTGAAACTCGTAAAACCCAAAACGAAAAACGAAACCAACAACAACAACAACAACATAGCCTTTTAGTCCTAAACAAGTTGGCGTAGACTAGAGATGAAACCGAAGAGAACCAACGAAAAACGAAACCCAGGTAACAAAAAATTAAGGGAAACCTGATCAGAAGGAGCAGTGGCCAATCGAGAGCGCTTCACGAGAGACCCATATATTTCTTCGGAAAAATCTTCAGAATGCAACGAACCCATCATCGCCTTCACCATAGAAACTAATTCGAAAAAAAAAAGAACAAAGAGAAAAAAAAAACCCTCCAAGATTCAGAAAAATTCAAACAATAAAATTCAAAAATTGGGACTCCAAATCTCAAAGGATAATCCGGAATCTAAATATCCCGGATGAAAGTGAGATGTAGTTTGGTTATCCTCGGAGCCCAGGAATTTAATTATTATATAAAATGTATTTTTATTTGGAAATAAAAAAAAAATGGAGGCGGTGCCCTTGAAGAGAAACAGAGAGAGAGAGAGAGAGAGAGAGAGAGCAGAATTGTGATTTTAATGGGGGATTCAGTCCAAGATTTATAAACCACTTTTCAATAAATTCAGGTGATCCATTAAATTGACCAATGTACCCTTTTCCCAAAATGCTACGGTTCCGATACGGTATTTTCCCGTCGGGAGTTATAACCGTTGAATACACATGTAGTTAGTATAAAATAGATGATCTAACAGTTAAAACACCTGACGAGAATATTCCGTAACGGGACTATAGCATTTTCCTACTTTATATTCCACTGGAAAAAAATGAAATCCACCATTATTGGATTGTAATAAATATATATAGCTATACAAAAATTAGGATGTAATTCTATATCTAATTCAATAATAAGATTCCAATACAAAATTTAATTGCTAAATTACAGTAAGTTTAATTGATTGATATATAAAATAAAGCTATGGAGTTTAGTCAAATATTATTATCTATAATATATACAAGTAATATTGTGTGTCTTTGTTTCAAAAGGGCACGAGATTGTTCGAAATTCATTGCATATTCAAATATTTTATGTTACTATTTATTATTATTATTATTATTACGCGGCAATTACATTTGATCAAACGATGGATTAATTTTCAAAAATAATACTAGTATTAATCTACAATAAAATATGATTATCAAACAATATTACACTATAATAAAAACCATGTTCAATATGAAATAAAGTGTTTAATTGTGACATTACTAAATAATATATCCATGTCTTTTTTTATATTAAATGCTAAATTTATTGATAGGTTTCAATATTCATTATTTTGGAGGGGTCATTTTAGTAATTGTGCACTTGGTGCATGCACGTGACAGAAATCAGATGTGTGGCAAAGTGGATAAATTTGTGGGCCAAAATCCTTCCACCAAAAAAGCATAAATAAATAAATAAAAAATATAAAAATAAAAGAGACCAAAAGATACGTTCACATGAGTTTTTGTGATAGTTTTAAGCACGTGCTTCTCATTGTATAATCACATATTATTATTCACATTTATTTGCCAATTTCTTATATCCCTTAATCTTAGATCATCTCTTGGAAAAATCTATATATATATATATATAATTGCAGCTAATTACTTATCCAACTTTTCTATTACTTATCCAACTTTTCTATTACTTATCCACTTTTCTCCTCAAAATTGGTTACATTTCTATTACTTATCCAACTTTAATTAGCTTTTTACATATTAATCCTACTTTTATTTGTTTTACATAATCACATGAGATATATTTTTTGAAAGTCTGATTTCAGTTTTAGAGTGTGATTTCAGTTTTAGTGGGCGACATTATGTCCATATAAGCATAATTTTTGCCCAAAAAAAAGAATTACATTAATAATTCAAAATACACACAAAATAAATTACATATATCCTTTTGGATTTAAAATCCAGTAAATAAAATAAAAAATACAATATTCCACCTCCTTAATTGTTTATATCTGCCTGCAATATAGAAAAAGAAAAAACATTAATTTATATCACATAAAATCGTGCAATATATGTAAAACATTATTATGAAATTAAAGCAATTAATGTAAATCAGGAGGAAAAATAGAAAAATAAAATATCAACTAATACAAATATAAAAAAGGCAGATTCTCATTCATTTTTTAGGGGAATTAGCAATTATTGGTTTCCATCAATCATGAAATTTTATAATCAAATATTATTTATACACAAATTAATCATGAATTTGATGTAATTAAATAAATTTGACCAATGGACAATTATTTTTCAGCATAAATTATGAAAATACACACGTTTTTGTACTCATTGAATTTTGTAATTAAGTATTATTTATACACAAATTAATCATGAATTTAATGTAGTTAAATAATTTTGACAAGGGACAATTATTTTTCAGCTGAAAATATGGAGATGCACACGCTTTTGTGCCCTATAAATACTAAAAAAATTTCAAATTATAATCACTCCATTTCACAAAACAACTATCACCCTCATTTCAAAATTCAGCCACATAAAACTCATCTACAAATGTCTTTCTACTTTGATAATCTCACTTATCTTGCCAAGAACAAAAACAAAACAACAATTTTGAGATTAATTAGGTTTTATCCCAAAAAAAAGAGAATCAAGCTTAGAATTTGTGTTTCGTGATGTCAAGGTAGACATCATGTTTATATGTTACTCTTATTAATAATTTGACATATTCTATTTTTTACTTATTTTTTTTAGAAATCAATAAATGATTTTTTATTTTATTTTTTCAGGGGGAGTGCATGCATGCGTCCGCACCGGATAGCTTGACTGAAAATTTTAGATTGTTGGTAAATGGTGAAGGGAATACATATGGAATAAAGAATTTCATTGTGGAACCCGATCACAACATGTTCAAAACTACCCCCAAAAATGACCAGTTTTTGTTCAATGTTGAAACTGAAATTAAGGAGGTCTTTGATGAAGACTACCCAAGGTTCATGTTTAATTTCAAGGAGTTCGGTGATCTGGCGGATCCATCTTGCATCGACTCCTCAAGGCTAATTGGTAACATTTATATACTTTATATTTTTTTTATTTAGACTTGTCTTACACTAAACTGTTTTCTAAATCTACATTTATATTGAATTCTAGATGTGATTGGTCGAGTCGTGTTCTTTCAAAGCGTACAAAAAGCAACGTCGAGAGGTGTAGAAAAGAGATTTATTGATATTCTTCTTGAATATATTCGGTAAGTTTAAATTACCGAATATTAATATTAATTTTCATTATCTAAATATTATATAATTTTTATGTAATTTTTCTATTTTTTATTATTTTAGCGGCTGCCAATTGCTTTGCACGTTATGGGAGGACTATGTGGATGTTTTACTTGAGGCAATGAAGCATTCCACTGCGGCCGAGGACAAAGTTATAATACTTTTAATATGTCGAGCGAAATCCATGAATGATGGTATATTTTTTAAATTAATTTAAATACGTTTTAATGTCTCTTTTTGTACATCTATAACTTAATATTATTGAATAATTTTAAAGGGTCTGTGAGAATTGCGAATGCTTGCGATGCAACTAAAATGATTGCTAAATTTGGTGTACCAGAAATTATGAAGTTAAAAGAGAGGTGATTGTTCAACTATTTGTTACAAACAGATTATTTATTACAAATATATGTATTTTATCTCATTATTTTCTTTTTGTTTACTTAGGTACAAGTCCCAGAAACGCTCAAATGAATTACCTAGCCAATATGTTAGGTCTTTCATGTCGAGCGTATGCGTTGACTTGCAATCGAGTTCGGCCCCAATTAGAACTATTGTTGGATATGACTATCTTCACGATCTTCATACTCCTGAATTTTTCAATGGAATTAAGTGCTCCGGACTTCCCAACCATAAATTACACTTGAAGGTTGGCACTCCAGTGATGCTCCTCATAAGCATTGATCACTCCATGGGGTTGTGCAACGGTAATGTTGATTAAAATTCGATATATCATGTATATTTATCTTTATTTTATGTACAAATTCGAGTGATTTGTTTTTGTTGTCCAAATTTTGATTTCAACAGGTACTCGATTGGTTATTACTAAGCTCAGCAGTCATGTCCTAGAATGCAGAATTTTAACCGGTGCCAGAGCTGGTGATAAGGTTCTTATTCCTAGGCTCACAATCATACCATCCGATTTGAGGGTAACGTTCAAGTTTCAGCGCAGGCAATTCCCTCTCATGGTTCCTATGCTATAACAATCAATACGAGTCAAGGCCAGTCATTGTCGCACGTCGGCTTACTATTGAAGAGCCCTGTATTTAGTCATGGGCAATTATACGTGGCGCTTTCTATAGTAACAAGTCAGAGGGGTTTGAAGATTCTAATTTGTGCTGATAGAGATTCTGACAATAATAAAACCACGAACGTTGTATATAAGGAAATGTTTAATAATAATTTAGATTTTTTTTCTTGGGCTTTTATCAAGTGATTATGTTATTATTTTTCCTATTGTTTACAATTTATTGTATTTTTTTTCTCTATCACATAGCTTTCCGTGAAAATAAAAATTAATTGACTAGCTCTCCGTGCAAATGTACGGGTTACAACTAGTTAATTCTCAAATCCAAGGTCTAAAATCCAAAATGAATTAATTATCACTTTAAACAGTATTTTTCTTTAATAATTTTACTCATTCTCAATTCGAAAGAATATTCTCTTATAATGTTTAAACATTAGTCATATAATTAACAACTCTAATTTGACTCCATTACCGTTTTATATTTAATTTTAAAAGATGTAATAAAATTAATTATGATTTATGAATTGATAATTTGTACAACTATTCTATTTCGTGATTGTTACCATTTTTTTTTAATTTTTGTTATTTCAACCAATGGGAATTTTGTAGTTTTTTAAAGTTAATATGTAATTTACATTTTCAATATTATATTTTTTATTTATCACATTATTACAACAACAAACATAAAAAGTGTATATAATCTTTTAAACATAGATAGAAATAAGAATAAAGACAAATGTCATAGTCATTGTTGTGCAAATACATGGGATGGCACATAATTTCTTTTTTACTTTTCAACGACATGTTCTCTGGTTTTTCTCGTCATTTTTGTCAATATTTAGAGCTTTAATGTCAATTTTGAAAGATTTATTTTTCGGAATAAGTTAAAGAATAATATATTGAAGATTTAATCCTACAAACAAAAGGATTTTAGCAAAGGGGAGATCTTCATTTATTTATTTCGGTTTTTCTGATATGTATATTGAAAATATTTTGTGATCTTATTTAGTGTTTTATTAATTTGTATAGATCTCGGACGTGTGCATGGAGGTGTAAGCCGACGTTGAATGGAAAGAAAAACAAGGAAAAGAGAAGAGACAATATTCACTTAACATGTTTGAACCATCAGCTTTGGAAGAAAATAACAAAGAGAAGGAAATTGTTTGGAGTAGACTTTACGCCTAAGGAGTCTATATATACACATCTTAAAGATCAATTGAAGTCTTCTGAGATAATCATTATTCACATATTATTCGAGCATTCAATTGAGAGTTGAAGTTTTTGTTTTTATATTCTATTTCGTTGTTCAATTCTTAGGTGTTCTTGAACCATCGAAGAACTGAGATTGTCTTCTTTAGCTTTTCATACTTTCTTCAAAAAAAACTTTGTTTACGTACTTAGGGATTAAAAGTTCGCTCGAGGAATTCGAGTGTGTAAAGGCCACGTTGTGTAAAGTCCAAGGGACGTGGCTAGAGAAGTGATTGATAGAGCCGAGTATAGTGTTGGCTAGGCTAGAAGAGAATTCTAGTTGTATAAGTCCAAACTAATACAAGTGTGGACAATCGATCTATTAATGAAAGATCTTTGAAGGCCGCCGAAGAGTTTTTTATCTCTTATTTGTGTTTCCGCTATTTTACTTATCTGGTGTTGCAACACAATTTGAAAAACATAAAATCATTTCTTGTTCTAACACAATTGAGCGCACTTATACCCTTGTTTCAAATGTTGTTTATTATTGTAATTTTTTTTTAATTAATTACAATGTAAATTGTTTTCTCTTCTCAATATTTTTAGCTTTAATGCTAACCTTCTTCATTATTTAATTTTTATTTATTATAATGCAAATAAAATATTTTTCTAATAGAAATAAAGGACTAATATGTTAGAGAACAAAACCAATAAAGTTAATTATATATAAATAAATTAAATAAACATTTGAAAGCCATAAATGAAACTAAACAAACAAAGGGTTAAAAATACATTTATTAAAAACTTTGACAATAGTGAACAGAGGAGCGAGAAAACTAGATTGAACGCATATTGCCATGCGTTTTGCAGGACAATTTGAACATATTTTTTTTTTCTTTAACGAGCTTCTATTGATCTCAATTGAACACCATCACCGAAATTTAATTGTGTTTGATCCAAATATTAGAGAGAAAAAATAGTTTGTGCAACTACAAATTCCTTTCTATTTGTACATTTACAATATTTTGTTAATTACAAATATACTAAATATCATTGTTTATTAATGTTGATTTGTGGTATATTTTTGTCATTCGTTTCTATTAAATCATTCGGAAACAAGTTTTGCATTGCTGCTTTTAGGTTTATAACTTGTTTTCGAATAATTTAATTATAATTTTATTTTCAATGATTCAGATATTTGCAGCAGCTATCACAAGTGTAAACGTGTAACAAGTAAGAAAAATTGGAGATTTAGTTCTATAATTGACACCTAATTGAGAAATAGTTCGGTGATCGCGTCTACATTATAAAACACCCTACAACTACAAAAAAAAAAAAAAAAACCGACTTATGGTCCTTCTACCAGCAAAAGTCGATCAATGTGACTGGTTGCTGACGTGTATATTGTTTTTCATTTTTTTTTCGTACACGTGACGGCCGACTAACATATCCAACTCAACAACAGGTCAAATTGACCGGCTTTTGCTGGTGGAAGGACTTAAAAGTCAATTTTTTTTTGGCAGTTATAAATTGCTTTATAAATTCAACCCAACCACCGTACTCTTTCTCAATTTAATGTAAATTACATGACTAAATCTCAAACTTATCGTAACAAGTCCAATGTTATATAAGTTTACTCCTTATAAACGGCAAAAAACTTGAGTCTTCATAAATGAAGCAGAACTTATGGTGCTTCATACCAACTATTTTCTCCTCAAAATACAAGTAAATAATGTCATAAATTTTTTAAGGTAATCTGGCAGAAAAAATAATAACAACAAACTCAATACTCCTCATTCTTCAGAGTATCACAATTTGCAACTAAAGCCCCTTCACTACAAGACATGTCTGAGAAAAAGATTTAAGAAAAATAAAAAAATAAAAATAAAACAATAGACCATTTAATTTGTTGCCTCAAGAGCTTCAGCCTCTCCATCACTGTAATCACCGCAACGCTTACCCGCCTTCCCATCACCAGTCGTGTTCGTGTCATAGCTGTCAGGAGAATTTTCGGGTTTTTTCCCGTTGTCTTCAGACAACTGACCAGGAAGAAGAGTTTCTTCATCGGGTTGAGCTTGTTTCTCGATCTCATCCACCGGTTGTAGTTCCGTCACAATATTATCACGACCAGCTTCATCGGGAAAGCCGACACAAGACTCCACCGGAGCTCCGTTTTCGATCTCCGCTGAACTATTTGGTAATAATGTCTGGTCAATCCCGTTGGCTGCCGCAATGTAGATGTTGGGGCCCACTAGGTGGTAGCTGCCCAGCGGGACCCACGGCTGACCTGGCATGAACTCGGTGGCATGCGGGTTCATTATTCCCATTGGGCTGTGCTCGGGCCTGGCCCGTGGAGGAGCCCGGCCACCGGTCCGGCCATACCCGGCTGAGAGGCGCGGGCCATATGGGACCCGGGCTGTGGCTGGAGACTGGTGGGGTGGCCGGCGGCTTGGGTTGATTCGTAGCATAGTGGCTATGTTGACAGGTGGCGGCAGTAACCCACCGTGTTCGTTGTAGACGGGGAGGGGAACCGACACGAAAACGGGGACCGTGGACGGATTAAACGGGGGTGCTGCGGCGGATAATTTCTTGGTTGGCTCGGTACTTGCTTGACTTTCTCCTTCGATTGTCACGGGCAAACAGTTTTCACTTGTATTATCACCCGAGGCATCTTCCATAAGTGCCGAGGAATTAATTGGGGACTGAATGCCAGTTGAAGTTTCGTTGGATTTTTCGTTCTTGGAAATTTCGGAGGAATTAGAGTGTCCGAAATCCTCACCATCTGTGCTTTCATCAACCGCCGATTGAGCTAATTCGGTAATAACTACATCTGATG